TATGAAGATAACAATATGAGAAAAGTCAAAGTAATTCCAAATATCTTAAAAGTAAGTAGCTCTTTGAATTCTTAGCTGCCTTAATTCATGAATTAGAAAATAAATTAACACTAAGGCGCATATTGCTTTCATTGGAATTTAAATGTAGATATTTGGTAAATATTCCAGTATTTGATGATCCAATTAATCATCTACTTTCAATTTAGCTTAATACTTGTAGCTCTTTAAAGAGTAAGTTGTGTAGAAAATATCAATCATAAAAGTTGTCAAAAATATCAGATAGATGTAAAATTAAGTCTTGTAGTAGGCAAGAGTATATTTCTACCATTTGAATTTAATAATGCTTTATATAATTTGATTTTCAAAATATTCTGGCTTATCTGAATTGCTTAAAACTTTCATTAATTCAGTGGGTTTATGTTGGAGAGATTTTGGTAAATTTATAAGTTGATACTCTATAGAATTCAATGAATCATCTTCTTCATAAGATAATACTTCTAACTTCTGACCAAATAATTCTTCGTATTTTTTATGAACATCTCTTGGGTGATCAAGATTGATACCCTAAATCAGTTCTTTTTCATCTTGGTGTTGAATTGGGAATGAAGGATCAATAATTTGATAACTCGGTAAATTACTTTCAAAATATTCCTACAAATCTATCTATTGTTTAAGTAATTCACATAAATTCTTATCAACCAGTTAGTTGAAAATTAAATGATCCTAATATTTGAGAATGATTGATAGAATTAAATTGATTATTCTTTACTGCCTATTTTTAATTGAGAAATCTAGTGGTGATGGCTAGCCAAGCATATTTGGAGTAATTAAGATAGGTAATGCTTGCTTGTCATTTAGTGAAAGCTATTTGACAATAATTTCAAGTACAATCAAATTGTTTTAAAACATGTTGAAGCATGTACCATAACCTGCAATGAACTTGGTGTACTTATCAACATCTTGAGTTATTTCTTTTAATATGTTTTCATTCTTCATTTTCTGGATTAATCTATAATCATCAATGAGTT